CAGCAGCAGCAGCAGCAGCAGCAGCTACAGCAGGAGCAGCAGCAGCAGCAGCAACGATGAGTCTAACCTCTAGAATAAGAAGTTGCTGCTGCTGTGGGGCAGATAAGATAATCCTTGAAAAGATTGCAGGCCTTTGACAGCACAGCAGCAGCAGCATGCGGCGAACAGCAAGATGTTGCTGCTGCAGCTGCTGCTCTTGCTGCTGCTGCTGTTCCTCCTGCCCTTGCTGCTGCTGCTGCTGCTGCTGTTGCTGCTGCTGCAAGCAGCATCTGTATGCCTTTATTAAGTAGCGGCCAACGCAAGACCTCCGGAGCCCACAGAGACGCGGCAGTGCTGCTGCTGCTGCTGGTGTTGCTGCTGCTGCTGCTGCTGCATCTGCTGCTGTTGTTGGTGTTGCTGCTGTTGCTGCTGTTGCTGCTGTTGCTGCTGCTGCTGCTGCATCTGCTGCTGTTGTTGGTGTTGCTGCTGTTGCTGCTGTTGCTGCTGCTGCTGCTGCTGCCTCCCTTGTAGACCTAGAAGCAGAATCAGCGGTTTTTATAATCGCAGCAGCAACGCGGGTGCCAGCGACAGCAGCAGCAGCAACTGCTGCTGCTGCTGCCTCCTCTGCAGCATTAGCAAGATCTATAGCTGGTAGTGCTCCGGCTGCTGCTGCTGCACGCCCGCTTGTTGCTGCTGTTGTAGTTCTTGCTGCTGCAGTAGCTGCTGCTGCAGTTGCTGCAGCTGCAGGGGTTGATAAATTATGAGACACAGAACAGCTGGCTGCTGTGCTGCTCCTCCTCTGCTGAGCCCCAACAGCAGGAGCTGATGCTGCTGCCTCTGCTGCTGCTGCTGCTGTTGCTGCTGTTGCTGCTGCTGCTGTTGCTGCTGCTGCTGCTGTAGGCAGCAGCCTAGCAGCGGTGCTGCAGCTCAGATGTCTTCTCCAAACACTAACAGGTTGTAGATGTCGGCAGCAACATCGGGGTATTAGAATGCTGCGTTGCTGCTGCTGCTGCTGTTGCTGCTGCAGCTTCTGCTGCAGCTGCTGCTGCTGCAGCAGAAGCGGCAGCTGATGGTGGGGTCTAGGCCTGGTCTTCTGCTGCAGCAGCTGCTGCTGCAGAAGCTGTTGCTGCTGCTGCTGCTGCAGCAGCAAGAAGCCATCGCCCTGCCATCGCCCCACAGCCTGAGGGCGTGGGGGCCCCCTCATGCCCTAAACCCTAAACCCTAAACCCTAAACTGTAACCTCCAAACCCTAAACCCTAAACCCTACACCCTACACCCTAAACAATAGGCCTTACGGCTGCTGCACTTGCTGCTTCTGCTGCTTTTATTTCATAATAAACAAAATAAAAAAACAAATGCCGACGAAGCTGCAGCTTTAATACCCTGGGGGCCCCTGGGGGCCCCCGGGGCCCCACAGAGGGGCCCCAGAGAGACACTTAGGGTTTAGGGTTTAGGGTTTAGGGTTTAGGGTTTAGGGTTTAGAGTTTAGGGTTTAGGGTTTATGGTTTAGGGTTTATTGATGTTTCTGTTTAGGGGTGTACGGGTAGTTAGTTCGTCTGTGATGTGCAGTAACCGCTAAACCCTAAACCCTAAACCCTAAACACTAAACCCTAAACCCTAGGCCTTAAGTCATAAACTCTAAACTCTAAACCCTAAACCCTAAACCCTAAAATCTAGTTCGTATGGAATCTCAGTAGCATGCCTTAAACCCTAGACAGTCAAGAACTGCTTCTATAAACCCTAAACCCTAAACCCTAAACCCTAAACCCTAAACCCTTCATGTTTAGAGACACGAAGAGAGAGGTAAACCCTCATATATTTGTTTTTGTGTTTTTCATGTTTGTTTTTGTTTGTCTTCTGCTGCAGCAGTTTTTTTATTATTCTTTAGCTACGCTTGTAGATCCGCCTTTTGCTGCTGCTGCTGCAGCTGCTACTGCTGCTGCTGCTACTGCTGCTACTGCTGCTGCTGCTGCTGCTGCTGCTACTGCTGCTACTGCTACTGCTGCTACTGCTGCTGCTGCTACTGCTGCTGCTGCTACTGCTGCTGCTGCTACTGCTGCTACTGCTGCTGCAGCTACTGCTTCTGCTGGTCTTGCTGCTCCTGTTGCTGCTGTTGCTGCTACTGTTGCTGCTGCTGCTGCTGGTCTTGCTGCTTCGGCGTTTGCTGCTGCTTCTGCTGCAGCTGTTACTCCCTCTGATATTGCTGCACGGCGTTGCTGCTGCTGATGTAATATCTATAGTACTTAGGAAGGAAGGAACCCCTAAACCCTTAACACCAAACCCTAAACCCTAAACCCCTAACAATAAACCCTAAACCCTTATCAATAAACCGTAAACCCTAAACCCTTAACAATAAACCCTAAACCCTAAACCCTTAACAAAGAAACCTAAACCCTTAAAATAAACCCTAAACCCTAAACCCTGAAATATATAAAGAAATATAAACCCTAAACCCTAAACAATAGGCCCTAAAGCCTAGGGAATATACACCATAATAAGCCTAATCTGCATCCTCTAAACCCTAAACCCTAATTTAGGGTTTAGGGTTTATAATAGCAATAATAATAAAGGAGACAACAAACAAAGATAAACAAATAAATGCATCGCAAACAAACTGCTGCTGCTGCCCCACTCCGCAGCAGCAAACAAAAAGAATTGCTGCTGCTGCTGCTGCTGCTGCTGCTGTGTTGCTGCTGCTGCGGCGGCTTCTACTGCTGTGTTGTTGCTGACGCTGCTGCTGCTGTGTTGCTGCTGCTGCTTCTGCTGCTGTGTGTGTTGTTGCTGCTGCTGCTGCCGTAGTTAGATCAGCAAACCCTAAACCCTAAAACCCTAAGCCCTTAAGCCTCTCATCTACAGAGGCAACCCGCCTCCCTAACCCTAAACCCTAAACCCTAATCCGTCAAGCGTAAACCCTAAACCGTAAACCCTAAACCCTTAAGCTTATGCTTCACTAGGAAGACGTCTAGTAAACCCTAAACCCTAAACCCTAAACCCTACTCAGTAGACACCCCACGCCCTGCAAAGGCAATTCCCTCACGTAGACCCTAAACCCTAAATTATTAGAGCATAAACCCTAAACCCTACATGCTAGCCCGGTATTAAACCCTAGGTCCTAAACCTAATTCTGTAAACCCTAAACCCTAAACCCTAAACCCTAAACCCTAGACCCAGCGAAAGGCAAAAGAAAGGGCATTAAATCCCCCGTGTTTTGCAGCTTCTCCACTCTTCTGAAGATGAAGACACTGAAAGCGAGCGCCTGCTGCTGCTGCTGCTGCTCCAGCAGCTGCAGCTGCTGCTGCTGCTGCTGCTGCTGCTGCTGCTACTGCTGCAGCAGCCAGGCCGGTTGTGGGGTTTACAAAGCAGCAAACCCTGCACCATCAAATAAGGCTGCTGAGACCTGAGTCTTCCTTCCCTTAGTGCCTCTTCTAGCTAGCCAGCTAGCTAGCTAGCTAGCTGGCTAGCTAGCTAGCCCGAAATAGCTACCTGAGGCGGCTCGCTGCAGCAGCTGCAGCAGCTGCAGCCTTCCGGGCCGCCTAAGAGACAGCTAGCTAGCTACCTAGCTAGCTACCTAGCTAGCCAGCTAGCTAGCTGACTACTCAATATGTGCTGCGCCCCCGCTGTGGAGAGCTAAAAGTAGAGGCTTGGAGCTGGACACCCCCCCAGCTAGCTAGCTAGCTAGCTAGCTAGCTAGACGGGGTTCTGGGGACTGCGGCGGGATGTGGTGTTGAGCATGCGTCTGTTGAAATGCAAGGCTAGCTGGTAGCTAGCTAGCTAGCTAGTTAGCTAGCTAGCTGGCGAGGGTGTAAGCACACGCGCCGTGTGCAGCTAGCCAATAGCCGCTTGCTCGCTCGTCAGCTAGCTAGCTCATTAGCTAGCTAGCTGTCTATCTAGTCCCCCCAGCTAGCTAGCTAGCTAGCTAGCTAGCTTCCTCTCCATCTAGCCCATCAGCTGGCTAGCTAGCTATCTAGCTAGCTAGCTCTTCACGTCGCCCGTTTGCCGGCTATCTAGCTAGCCACCTAGCTAGCTAGCTAGCTAGCTAGCCACCTATCTATCTAGCTAGCTAGCTACATAGCTAGCTAGCTAGCTAGGATGATGAGAGTAAAGAAGAATTAATCATGAAGGTGACTGAGGAGGCTTCCTTGAGCTTTAATCCACCGCTTTCGTTTGCTTATGCTGGTGATTTGACTAAATATACCGACAATAACACAAAATAGTCCTAGCAAAGCGAAGGCACCGGCGAGAAAAGAGCTAGTGCTGCTCTTGAGTGTCTGCTGACCTAAGCCTCCTGCAACAGCTAGCAGCAAGCCGCCTACAAACAATTCTTCTGCGCCTTTGTATGTAGGTAGCGCATCTACATCCATAGTATGAATGCCTTCATTAGCTAATGTCATGCCCTTTGACATCCGTCGCTGCGCTAATAAGTCTGTTCGGTTGCCTCCTCCTCCTGCTGCTGCTGCTGCTGCTGGTGAAGGTCCTGCTACAGATTCTGTCAGTAATGTGCTAGAAGGAGAGGCAGCTGATAGACTACCTTGCTGCTGCTGCTGCTGATTATGCTGCTGCTGCTGCTGCTGCTGCTGCTGCTGCTGTTGCGGATTTTTTCCGCCTCCTGGATGCCCAGGAGCCGCAGATGAATCACCAGCAGCTATTTGCTGCTGCTGCTGCTGTTGCTGCTGCTGTTGCTGCTGATCTGGGGACCATCCTGAAGGTAATGTTAGAGGAGCGTCGCCCGCAGCAGCAGCAATGTCATCAGGTGCAGTAGGTGCTGCTGATGCTGCTGCTTCTGCTTCTCCTGTTGCTGCTGCTGCTGCATCTGTTACGTCGGGGGCTACAGCCGTTGTTGTTGCTGCTGCTGCTTCTGCTGCTGCTGCTTCTGCTGCTGCTGCTCCCCCAAGCAGATTCGCGCACCAGCCAACCCAACCGAGCAGCAGCGGCAGGCTGAGCCGCCTCATGTTGCAGCAGCAGCAGCAGCAGCAGCAGCAGCAGCGGGGAGAACGACAAGCGCAGCAACAACCCCCTTATTGCGAGAAGCAGCAGCAACACTACCAACAGAAGCAGGAGAAGCAGCAGCAGGAAGAAGCAAGATCTGTTTTTGCTGCTGCTCTGCGCCTATAGAAGAAGCAGCAGCAGCAGAGAGAGAGAGAGGCTGTAAGCTGCTGCTTCTTGAACAGCCGATGCGTCCTCTTTAAAATATAAACAGCAGCTAGCACTGCTTAATAGACAAAGAAGCAAAAGAAAGAGTAAAGAGAGAGATAAAAGAAGCAGTGCCGCCTCCACCAGTGTTGAGAACCAGGAGTAGCAGCAGCAGCAGCAGCAGCAGCAGCAGGTTGAAGCCTACCCTGCTGCTACAAAGCAAGGAAACGACGAATCTGCTGCTGTTCAACTTATATTTACTTCTAATCAAACAAATATAAACAAACAAACAAACAAAACAAACAAAACAAACAAACGAACAACGTAACAGACTCCTGGGGCCCTGCTGAGCGGCCCCTCTCGCCGTTCCTGCTGCTGCTGCTGCTGCTGCTGCTCCTGCTGCTGTTGCTGCTGCTACTGCTGTTGCTGCTACTCTTGCTGCTGTAGAAGCAACGACCTACCATAATTGTATATTTATTATATTAAATAATTAATTAATACAAATTTATTAATTTTAATTATAAAGACTGTAAAAATAAAACAGAAGAAAGCTGCGTCGCTCTGCTGCTGCAATGGGCTGTTAACAGCAGGTGCTGCTGCTGCTGCTGCTGCTGCTACTGCTGTTGCTGCTGCTGCTGTGGGGGCCGTGGGAGTTGGGATCGCAGTATTATGTTGTAGAGTTTGCTTCTTCTTTGTTTTATTTTATTATGTTTTAATTTAATGAAGGATTAATTACGCTGCTGCAGCAAACAGCCAGGGCCTCTGCTGCTGCTGCTGCTGCCTCCCAGCCCCATCAAGCCCCCTAAGCCTTCGTCCCCCCTTCTTGCTGCTGCTGCTGCTGCTGCTGCTGCTGCTGCTGCTGCGGTTGCTGTTGGTTTATCGCTGCAGCTGTTTTCGGGGCTACTATCAGCAGCAGCAATTGGTATCCCTTATTTCTTTGTGTGTACGTTTTTGCTGCTGCTGCTGCTGCTGCTGCTGCTGCTGCTGCTGCTGTTATTTCTTTGTGTGTACGTTTTTGCTGCTGCTGCTGCTGCTGCTGCTGCTGCTGCTGCTGCTGTTACACCAGCAGCACTGTAGCTGCTGTCGTGCTAGAGTTTTTTGCTGACAGCAGCAGAACCTTCGGTAGTTGGTATAAGTGTAAACGCAGCAGCAGCCAGCCCCAGCTGCATTAACAACAACAACAACAACAGCAGCAGCAGCAGCAGCAGCAGCAGCAGCAGCAAATTGAGACAAACGAAGATGGGGAGAAGACAAAAATCTGCAAAGGGTGCTAAAAACCGAAAGCTGAAGAGAGGCACGAGGGACCTCAAAAGAAGAACACAAGACCAAGATCAAGGTAAAGCTAGCTAGCTAGCTAGCTAGCTAGCTAGGTATTTAGTTAGTTGGCTTGCTAGCTAGCTGGAGAGAGCGGTAGTAAGACAGTTGGGGTAGAAGCAGCAGCAGCAGCAGCACCAGCAGCAGCAGCAGCAGCAGCACAAACAGCGCAGGAGGCAGACGTCGGGGCTTCACTGCTATCTATCTATCTATCTATGCTAGCTAGCTAGCTACTTAGCTAGTTGTCTACCTAGCTAGCTAGCTAGTTAGCTAGTTATCTAGCTAGCTAGCTAGCTAGCTAGCTAGGTTGTTGTCTATCTATCTAGCTATGTTGTGTACAGCGTCTTAGGAGCCCCTGCAGCTTCTGAGCTTGAAGAATATCTTTAACAAACAGCAGCAGCAGCAACAGACCCCTCCTTCTGCTCCCCCCAGCTAGCTGTAGCTAGCTGTAGCTAGCTATGTGTGTGTATATATATGCTCAGCTCATTATGCTGTGTTAAATGCATCTTCAAAGCCTCTTGTTTATAATGAAGACCTACCAGGAGGGGGCCTCTTCTTATGCAGTCCCTGCGGCCGCTATTTTATTAATCAAGACACGCTAAATAAACATTTAAAGACAAAGGGACATAAAAAAAAATCTACAGCTGCAGCAGAAACCCCCTGGACTGCACAAGCTGCTGAACTCGCTGCAAGATAAATCCTAACCCTAATCAAAACCCAGCAGGGGGCCCCTACAGGGGCCCCTCAAGGGTTTAGGGTTTAGGGTTTAGGGTTTAGGGTTTAGGGTTCTAGAGGGAGCCCTAGAGGGGCCCCTAGAGGGGGCCCCTTAGGGGGCCCTAGAGGGGGGGGGCCCCCATACTAAGGTTTAGGGGCCCCTCTAGGGGGGCCTAACCCTATCTTTTAGGGGCCCCTACAAAGGCCCTCTCTGGGGGCCCCTCTTGGGG